CTATATGTATGAAGTATATGCGAGTCTATATACAAGCGCACGGGGTGTCAAAGTGTGTAAGCGGTCTGTGTACATACGAGTGTAGCAACCATACAACTTTAAACAGACAGCCACTTGTGCCCACAATTTGAGGCTTCTTTTCATACTGAAGTGATATCATCACCCCATGGGTCTACCTACCAAATCAAACGTGTGTACACTAACCGTCGCTGAACCTGCACTGATCTATAGGCATATGCACATCACACGCAAATGCATATTACAAGTCTCTGAGTCACATGATACATTGCCGTTCCACCTCCGTTTCATTAACACACGCGCACTCACTGGCGCTATCGCAGAATCGTTTGTGCTGCTGTGGAAGAAGACAGAGGATGGTGAAGAGAATATTCTTGTGGAAAACAAAAAGAGCGAACTCAAGGAAATGAAATCGTCTATGCGGTATGTAGGTACCAGTCCTATTGACTGGCTGTAGGTACGAGTTGAAATGGATACAAGCGGACCTGTCTGCTAGTTCATGAATATGTGTGGTTTTGTGTTGATTTGTGTACGTGTGTCGCATATATGTATACATATATATATATATATATATATATATATATATATATATAGTATATATGTGTGTGTATGTATATGTGTGTGTGTATGTATATATGTGTGTGTGTGTATATGTATATGCGTGTGTTTATTACATGTGCACTTTATTTTTTATAGCTTTCCTTGAATACTAAAAATAAAGAATATTTAGATATGCAGAGACTCACTGATAGATAGAAACATGCGTGGGTTCATGGAAAAGTTAAATAAGAAAAATGTGAGTGAGCCCACACAGGAACTATAGATGATAGCATTTCCATATCAAAATGATAGACATGTGTGTGTGTGCGTGTGTGTGTGGATGGGTGGGTGGGTGTGGGTGTAAGTGGGTGTGGGTGTGGGTGTGTGTGTGTGTGTGTGCTTATATACATATGTATATATATGATTGTATTGAATAACTTTCTGATACTTTTTCGTCTACTCTAACTATGCGCAGGGACAAGGGGTCGAAGTTCTTGATCCAGAAATCAATCTCTTTCCCTCGATTGACGATGGTGGACTGTATATTCAAAGTCAAAGCTAGCACTCCGGTAGAAGTATGCAGCATCGCTCTGTGATTCTCACATGATGACCTTAATGCATATACATCCTTAGTGCATAAAGATGCATACATTGGTACACATGCATCATCCTGCACTGCGACTAGTATATTTACACATACCATGTATATATACGATAATTGTGAGAGAGACTATGTACTTGTGTGAGAGAGTATGTATACGTGTGTACATACTGTCTCACACTTATACTATGTATATGTACGATGATTTAGACGTACCAATCTGATGTCGGTTGTGTACTCTGATTCTCTCGATGCCACCTGAGACAAAGGAAACATCCCCTTGGCGCATCTGTCATGTGTATGCCGTTAGTATTAGAAACATAAAGCTGTTATTCGTGGAGCACATATTGGTGATGTTCTGTTTAGTGCTCTTTTGGACTTAAGATCTATAGCCGATTTACATACAAGTCATGTAGTGGTCCTGTCAGGAATACCATAGCATCAAACAAAAATACCACTCGATCCCAGTTCTTTTGTATATATATATATGTGTGTGTGAGAGAGAGAGAGAGAGAGTGTGTGTGT